GGGGGGGGGGGGTAAGGCGGCCCCGGTAGTGGCGGTGGCGGCGGCGGCGGCAGCGGTCAATGGGGCGAGCAGAGGCAAGCAGCGGCGAGTTTGGCTGAGGGGAGCGCAGCACTCTCGTTCAGCACACCGTCCGGAGCTGTCGAACCACCCTCCGGCGCCGCCTCGTCACTCGCCGGCGCGGCCGCTGCGGGCGTTGCGGCAGACGCCGGCGCCGCTGCGGCGGAGGCCGGCGCCGCTGCGGCGGAGGCCGACGCGGGGCTGCTGGCCGCCGCCGCCGCCGCCGCGCCGTCCGACGGCTTTGCGTCGGTCGCCGCGGTCATGAAGGACGCGACGTCGAACTCATCGAGCGCGGCGCGCTCGTCGCTGGTGCGGGCGAGCGCGTGCTTGCGCATCTGGCCGAGCTTGAGTGCGACCGACCCGAGCGGGCGCACCTGCTGGTTGTTGTGCTCGCCCGTCCGCGCCTGCACCGCGCGCGCCACCGGGACGCACAGCTGGTTCTGCCACGAATCGCGCTGGCACGCCTCCTGCACGGTGATGCTTGGGAAGCTGGGGGGCGACTCTGCAAGGTCCGGAGCGTGCGTCGAGAGGAAGTCCTTGGACTTTAGGCAGTCAAGCACGACGGTGACCTCGGCCGCCGCCCAAGCGTTGGGGACATTCTTGCCGCCGCCGCGTCGAGGGGGCATGCCACGCAAGCAGTGGCGGCGGGAGACACAGAGCAGGTCAAAAGTCACAGCGGCGCCGATGGAGCGATGTGAAGGCGCGCGCGAGGAAATTTCTCTTAGGGCGTCTGCACGGATCCAGTCCCGTGGGGAGAGGAGCCCCCGCCTGGGGGCTGCCCGTGCGGCTGTGGCTGCGGATGTACCGGGTACCCACCGCCGCCGCCCGGCTCGCCGCAGAAGATGCACCTGAAGGGTGTCGGGCTCCTTTACGACGGCACGTCAACCAGCCCTTCCAAATACCTCGACCTCATCGTCACAAACACCACGCTCTACACGCCGTGGAAGAGCACGGAACAAGGGCGGAAAGTCGATAGCGTCTTTGGAGAGATCTCGATGGCGGCAGACACCTCCACCACCTTCAAGTTCGAGTTCGCCGACTCGGAGACGGGCGCCGCCGCCGAAATCCCCTACGGCGCGCCGCCCTCTCCCCAACCGCCCTCTCCACAACCGCCTTCCCAACCGCCCTGCTCGTCCGACCGCGACTGACCCCACCCCACCTCGCCTCCGCGCGGCAGAGTTCGACATGTGCATCATGGACACCGACACGGGTGTCGACGGCGTCCTGCAAGAGTCTGGGGAGTTCTGCGGCACGATAGGCGACTACCACCACGGCAAGAAGCCCCCCGAGAGCCGCTACTTCTACGATTACATCTGCGACAACATCGACGCGGAAGAGTACGTGGAGATCACGCGGGAAGAGTGCGTGACGATCAAGGGGCTGGCCGAGGGCACGGGGCCCGACAACCCGAGGCTCTGGGACGATGTGTGGATGACGCCCGCCGCCCAGAACTCGTGTGCCGACTACGACAAGTGCCCCGCATCTGGCACGTCGGGCTACTGTCGGGGTCCGGGCGATAAGATGTGCGACATCATCAAGTGCCCGGGCCAGACATCGACCAAAGCGGGCGCCGGGCTCTACTCGTCCTCTTCCAGGCTCACCTCGCGCCTGAGGGGCAAGCCGTTCCGCTACACCATGCCCAAGTTCGTGTGCTTCACATACCCAGCTGGCAGCTCCTCCTTTACCTTGACGTACACGGTCGGGGGAAACCCGGGGGCGCCGCCGTACTATGGGCGCAACTTCATGTTTGGCGGCACGAGCATCGAGAAGCAGTGCGCCGACCCCCAGGCAGCATCGCTGCGGAGCAGCACCTGCAAGGACTGTCAGTTTGAGTTCAGCCTTGACGCGGAGGGCCCCTGCCCTCCCCCCGCACCGTCCTCGAGCTGCCCCATTGTCGGCGAGTCCATCCTCTCCGAGTCGCTGCCAGCTGGTGTAAAGTGCCTCGACGTGACTTGCTCGGCGGGCCGGCGCCGCCGGCTGCAGAGCGACTCCCCGACGGTCACCCTTACCGTGATGCTGGAGGCGCCGTCGGCGGCGGCGATCGAGTCGGTGGAGGCGAGGCTGTCTGAGCTGATGTCGAGTATCGCGGCCGCCTCCACCCTCCTCGGCATTCGCGTCATCACCCTCCCCGTCTTCCGCCCCGACTACACTGGCCGCCGCATCACGACCACCGAGTACACGGGCTTGGTGGTCGGCTGCGCCCTGGGGGGTGTTGCGGCCCTCGCGCTGCTAGGGCTGGGCGTGCGGCACGCGCTGCGCAGGGCGCAGGTCCGCCCCGCGGTCCAAAAGCGCCCCGCCGAGCTCGAGGCCGCCCAGCAAAGCTGGGAGTGACGGCGCGGCGCAGCAGTGACCCACCACCCACCTCCAGACCTACTCTCGCACTCACACTCTCGTCTCGTATCCCATCATGTCGCGCCGCCCTGCCGCCGCCGCCGCTGTCGCCGCGAAAAGGGGTGTATGGCCTCGCCACTCAGAACATGCAACGGGCCCCCACTGAGTTCGCGCCGGCGGGCCCCCGCCGACGGTTTGCTGGGTCTTATTTGTACCCCGCTCACCCCGCCGAGGGCGAGGCCGCGCTTCTCCGGGGCTCCGGCGGCACGCGCGCCTTCCCCGCGCTCTTTTTATTTCGTATGTCGATGTATCATGTCTGTTAGATTAAACGGCGGGAATCTGGGGCGGCTGGTGGACACAGGACGGTGGGACATGGGGGCTCTGACTACAGTCTGACAGTCTCATAAGGGAGACACACACTGAACACTCGAGGTTGGAACCCTATGAGCTCGCCCTCACATACAGGCGGACAGGTTGTGCCTGTGGGCGGGGCTGGCCGGCAGCGATGCGCTCAGTCAGAGGCCACTATACACTGCAACGCAGGAAGGCGCACTCTTGGCACTATCCTGGGCCTACGCGACAGACACGTGCAAAGGGGAAAAAGCCGGATAAACGATGGCAGCGCTGCGCCCTCGGCTCACCGTGTGCCAGAGACGCTGGCCCGGTGTCCATGCTTGCCGACATGCAGCCAGCTGCCCAAGACTGAGGCCTCGGTCGGTGGCCGTTCCGTCGCATCGCAGGAGAGGTCGGCGCCGCTGCTCGAGTCGCCTCCAAAGAACACCCGGCCGCCTCCCAGGTCGTCGCTGTCGCGCGGCGAGAGGGCCTCGCTTTCGCGCGGCGAACTTCCCGGCGTGCTGCCACGGGACATGCGGCGTACAAACACACTGGCAAACACACTGGCGGGGTAGAACGTGCGGGACGAAGGTCCGGCAGGCTCCATATCGCGCAACGCTTCTCCAAGTGTCCAGGATCGTCCTGGACGAGTCCCCGTGTTTGTACGCCGAGTACCCGGGTACATTTAAACCTAACCGTCAGAAAGAAGAAAACGCTAGATGGCAGGTATTTCTCTTGGTCGCTCTTCAGTGCCAAAAGCCCAATGTGTGCTAGTGAACACAATCGGGTCCTACAAGACACCACTCAGCTACTTACTGACTGCTAGTGAACACAATCGGGGGTGAAATTCTCAAAAAGGTGCAGCACTTCTAGCCGACATCGACAAAAGTCCCTCTAGCCCCGCGGCGAGCGGCCCCGCCGGAGGCGAAGAAAATTTCGCCATCTAGCGCTCGCAACACATAGATTTGTGCATAAATCAACACCTCCAATCTTCGGGGGAGTGACGGATAAAGGCGTGCGAAAGAGCTATGAATCCGAAAGCAGCGAATCCAAGTGATGGCCCGCCGCAGGCGAAGAAAATTTAGGGTTGGGGTTCCCCTATGCCAAAGAACTCTGAGAGGATTTCGGCGGCCGGCGCGCCGAGGCACAGCGGTTCGCGCTGCCTGCTCGCGCTGGTTACACCGTTGCTGTGGCCGTCTTCGTCCGTATTGTACACCGAGCTGGCGCCACAGCAGAGTACAACAACGGCTCGGACGAACTGCTCACTACATCATCAGAGGGCCCGGCAAGGTCCACGGCGGAGCTGGCGGTGGTGGGAGTGGTGGTAGGAACGAAGGCGCACCTGTCGGCGATTCACCGCCGTTCGTTCCCGTCTCTCAAAGCTGGTTACACCGTCGATGCGCACATCGAGGCGCTCGTGGACGAGAGAGACGTCGCCTCCTCTTTCGTACCGGGGCACTGTTCACGCCGGAAGGCCCCGTACACTGCCAAGTACATTAGCCTTCATCTCTCCTACCGCCGGCCGGGAGTGCAGCCGCCACCAGTGAGATTGTCCTCGACGTTGGCACCTGCGAAGTAATGAACAACAGGCAGTGCGTCATATGGCGCTATGATAGCCCTGCGGTGGACGTCCTCGACGCAGACGAGGCGGAGCTCATCTGCGCGGCGCAGATCGCCGACTGTCTCTCCCTCCCTGCGCGAGTGGTTGCACCACCCTGGATGAGGCATCTGGGCTGGGGCAGGGCCGTTAGTAGAGGAGGGCGACTGAGGGCGCGAGGCCGCCAATCGTCAAAGTCTGCTGCGACTGACTGTCGGTCACTGACTGAGCAATGAGCAATCGCATCGGCGGTTTCACTCACGCTCACAATCGGGTTACATCCAGGTCTCTGTGCGGGATGTGCTGGGGGGCTGCCCCCCAGTCGATTGCCGCATAGTTCGTCGATGTAACCCTACCAGAAAGCTGTATTCACACCTACCCTTCCAAAAAAAGAAATGTCCCGCCTTTGTCGAAGATCCGGCGGGTTTATCGGAGCATCACCCTCGGTTCCTACAACACATCACTCCGCTAGCGCTGCGAACAGTCGCTGCGCGAGAACACAAGTCACAACAGATGGCGACAACAAACAAACAAAGAAACAAACACGCCGGCACAAAGAACGGAGCGCGAGTATTCACGGGAAGGGCGTTTCGAGGATTGCGTCGGTGCGGGCGCCGACGTCGTAGCGGGGCGACCGATTCACCACGTGGATGAGCATCTCTATACACTGCAACGCAGGAAGGCACTCTTGGCACTATCCTGGGCCTACGCGACAGACAAAGGGGAAAAAGCCGGATAAACGATGGCAGCGCTGCGCCCTCGGCTCACCGTGTGCCAGAGACGCTGGCCCGGTGTCCATGCTTGCCGACATGCAGCCAGCTGCCCAAGACTGAGGCCTCGGTCGGTGGCCATTCCGTCGCATCGCAGGAGAGGTCGGCGCCGCTGCTCGAGTCGCCTCCAAAGAACACCCGGCCGCTGCGCGAATGCTCCCACATCCCTCCTCCCAGGTCGTCGCTGTCGCGTGGCGAGAGGGCCTCGCTTTCGCGCGGCGAACTTCCCGGCGTGCTGCCACGGGACATGCGGCGTACAAAATCGGCGTCAAAGAGCGGCGGCGGCAGCGGCGGCAGCCCCCGCAGACGGCTGGGCACGAACGGGCTGCGAGAGCTCCGCTGGCTCATGGAGGAGCTCGAGTCCGGCACGTCCACACTGGCGGGGTAGAGCGTGCGGGAGGAAGGTCCGGCAGGCTCCATATCGTCCTGGACAGCAAGTCTCCATATCGCGGCGAGCAAGTGCTCCATATCGGCCTCCAAGTGTCCAGATCGTCCTGGACGAGTCCCCAACAGCGGATGCTGCGATCGACGGAGCTCTAGGCTCGAGCAGGTAGTATGCTCGCTGGTGCGCTCGCTGCGTTCTGGACGACGCCGCTGGATGTGATGCGTACGAAGCACGTGTTGTGAGTTGGACAGAGGACCACCGCTCTCACCTCCCCC